ATTGATTCATAATTTCATACTAAGGCCAGCGCCCAACCATTATTACAAAGCACCATATACCACAGAAAAAGTCCAAACAAATACTAAGGCCAACGCCCAACCGTTGTTACAAAGCACCATACGATGTAAAAAGTCCAAACAAAGGCATTAAAAGTCGCCTCTGCAAATTATTAAGATACATTCCTCGTCATGGATAATTGCTTGCTACCCTCTGTGTGAATCTTTTGATGTCGAATGTATCGGTCCCGTTTTTCGTAATCACGCCCTGATATACATCATTTCTATTAGTATGAGAGAGAGAGAGAGAGAGAGAGAGAGAGAGAGAGAGAGAGAGAGAGAGAGAAACCTTCTCGGTAATAATACCGCTGATGACATCAGCGGGTGTGACATCAAACGCCGGATTCCAAACGGAAACTCCGGGAGCCGCCACCTGTTCGCCCAATCCTCCGCGTGCATTCAGTAGCTCCTTAGCCGATCTTTCCTCAATAACAATCTCCTGACCGGAAGAAAGGGACAGGTCAATGGACGTAAGTGGGGCCGCCACGTAAAACGGGATTCCGTGGTGTTTTGCCGACAGGGCAAGGCTGTAGGTCCCTATCTTGTTGGCAGTATCACCTAAAATGTGTACATTCAGTTTCAATTGTTAGCACCTAAAACCAAACGGTGCCATTTAACTGGGAACAGGAGGTTTTGAGGTATGGATTTTTGAGTGTACCGTTAGCCGCCACACGGTCGGCACCGACAATGACGGCACTCACTCGCCCAGCTTTCATAAGTGCTGCGGCGGCTGAGTCGGCTATTAGGGTGGCCGGAATGTTTTCGTGCACCAGCTCGAAGGCTGTGAGTCTCGACCCCTGAAAAAAAACACGAAAGTGTAATTTGCAGTACTTAACGTTCATGATGACCATATTCGTCATTAGGTTGATCAATAAAAACTCGTCAATCGATAATACAGCCGAGCCCTGTTATTTAAACTTCTGGGCAAGAGTGAAACAAGAAGCTGTAGTTCTAAAGAATGACAGGCCAAACTACAACGGGAATCAAATTATTAATGAAAAGTGAAAAAAAGGAAATGATAATGTAAAAGAAAGCCACCATAAATATATATCTTTTAATATGATAACTTCCCTGGTGTGAATTAATCTGCAGTTGCAGCTGCTATTTCATAAGTTACAACATGCAAGTAGAATTTGTTGATGATGTCAAATATTTACAGCAAAAGAGTACTATTCAGTACTCACTTGATTAAATGGGCGTGTTTCTGTACAGTAAGCCCTCTCGAGAACCCCTTCTTCATGGAGAGCACGAATCACGCCTAGAGCAGTTCCATATCCAGCTGTTGCCAAGCTGCTCAGGTAACAAGTCACACAGTTATAGAATCTTTAAAATCAAGCAAATCAGTTCAATACAGCTAGAGTATTTCAAGGTTCATGAGATAATAACTACAAATCAACAACCTCCATTCATATATGGAAGGCACTTAAAAATAGTGTATTGGGGGAAAAAAACCTCGGTCCTGGTCAAAGTATACCTGCCTGTGTTACAATGGGTCAAAACAGACAAGGTTTTGTGGTTTCCCTGCTGCTTCTGAAGGAAACTAGCCCCATAGTGTCCAATTGCCATGTTTGAAGCAACATCGTCTTCAAGCATAACTTCAGCAGCTTCAATATAAGTCTGCAGATGAAAAACACAAACTTCGTAGATAAGTATTGCCATAATCAATATAAAAAGTAAAATAATATAGTCACACCTGAAACACGGCCTGAGCTTCAGAAGCAGTGGTTGCAGCTTCATGCACGATTTCCTTGAGTTTAGTTGCAGCATCTGAGAGATTGACAGCTGTCGGGCGGCTGTGCAATCAGGAACAAGAATTTCATATTTAACTCAAATGCCAAGTGACATATGTTGAATATCGACTACATCAACTGAAATATTTTGATCACCTTGAGACAAGATAATCCAATTTCTTGCTGAGGAAATATGCAGCATCAATGGCTGTCCCGCTAAATGCTTCCAAATTCGAAACTTCCACTGCCAATGAGAGAGCAGCAGCTATGGCGATAGCTGGTGCACCACGAACAACCATATCCTTTATTGCAACCCTGTTTACCACAATGACAGAACCAACAAACAATAAAAAATTTTTATCTTATGACTCTTAACGAATTTTGAATAGAATTTCATAGACAGCCACATTCTGTTTCAAGTCTTAGAGTATATCGATCTTAAGAAATATGACCTCCCCTTTTTGATCGAATGGCATATGAGTTCTAACTAAATTGTCGATAAGAAGGTTCGCCAATTTACATATAGTAAGGCTGATATTAAGTAGGCGTAATTGTCTATGATTCGACAGTCCAACCTTTTCAATGAATATGCATACTTTCAAACTGAAATTTAAGAAACAACAGAATCAATATTATGACATTTCATCACGACACAAGTAAGCATTTTCATTGAAGAAGAAGAAGTATGACGGGTCAACCCGCCTGATCTATTCTCCTCATACAATAATTTCTGATTACAAAGCAGTAAAGTTATTTATAATAAGCTCGACTCACAAGTACGATTCATAAAACCGACGACATGATTCGCAAGTGGCAAACATATCATCGTCATTCTCCAGCAAATAGTAACTTAACGACTGCAACGCACGGCCGTGACCCATGTAAACATTCTCAATTAAAATTTGAACTTGACATGTAACAACAGCATTACCATTATGATGGAGACGAGCTCGCGTTGGAGTTTCTGGACAAATACGATCGACTTTCGGCGTTGATTTGATTAGTCACGTACATTATTATTATTATTTTTATTCAGTATTGATTTTAATTAGCTAGGAAAATAATTATCTTGCAGTTGTTTAGCAAGAATGGACTCTCTTTTATTTAATCTGATGTATTGTTGCATAGAAAGCAGATTGGAATTTTATGAAATTTATCTGACGTTTGTCATAAACGTCATTGACGAGAGAGTATCTCATTCTTGTTCCCTTTTCGTATCACGTTCTACATCAGTTGGTATCAGCAGACCAGCCGACGATCCACGATGCCGCCGAAGAAAGACAAAGCCGTAATCGACAATTCCGTTGATGAACGATTTC